CTTCCACAGTGGTTGCACCATTTTACACTTCCACCAACAGTGAATAAGGGTTCCAGTTTCTCCACAACCTCGCCAGCATTTGTTGCTTGCTGTTGTGCTAAATTTTGCTATTCCGACTGGGATGAGATGATATCTCATAGTGGTTTTTACTTGCAACTTTTTGAGAAAGCGCCATACAGCCTTCCATAGTGATTGCACTATTTTATACTCCCACCAGCAATGAATAAGGGTTATAGTTTCTCCGCAACCTTGCCAGCGTTTGATGTGTGCTGTTCTGTTAAATTTTGCTATTCTTACGGGGGTGAGCTGATGTCTCAGAGTTGTTTGAAGAAAACTTCTAAAGTGAAAAATTCTTGTATTATTTTTCAAGAAGACTATCCTACATTCATAGGTTACTATGGTGTTGTGAACATCTTTATCTCCATTATTTTTCATCTCCAAAATTTGAAAATTACAACTAAGTTATGTTAGTTATTAACAGTTGAAACAGGAAAAAAAAAAAAAGAGACCAGATAAAAAATATCCTTTGTGTGATGCCAACAAGGACTCCTGAGGACACAGCGGTTACGGTACTGAGAGCTAACAAAAAGATGGTGGTTTTGAACTCATCAGATCTTCCCCAGGAGAAGTGGATGGCAGCCTGCCTTCTTAGAGATTTTACTGCCTGGAGAACCCTGTCAGGTAGAGCTACTCTATCTTACAGGGTGGTGATGAGTCAAAACCAACTTGATATCAGTGGGTTGGGTTGGGTTTGCTGACCATAACTTCCTTAATTAGAAAGAACAGTTTTAACATGTCTTATCATTATGTCAGCTAATAATGGATGTTACCTAATCTGATGACCTACTGAAAAATTCCACTTGTGTGTGATGTTTGTCCTTCTAAAATATTGTTTCTATCTTTGTGTGTGTTTTTTTTAAACTTATTTCATGGACATTTCAAGCCTTAGGCCCTTTTATTAGCCACATCTATTAAAACTAAATTTATAGATACAGATATATCTGAGCTGGCTACTTTCTGTTTCTGCTTCATACCAGCACAGCTGCAGAAACAAACAACAAAGCAAAGCAGGAAGCCAGGCAGGATACATGAAAGCAGAAAGAGCCCCTTCTTCCCTAGACCGTGAAGCCTATTCTACTTCTGGATATAAATATCTCAGATATACTTAAAAGGAAATACCTAATACATTATAAATAAGAAAGAAGAAAAGAGAATGCATTCTTATAAAAAAACTGGAGAAGTTTGAATATTTCCATTTATATTTGAGAGGCATATTTTATATAATTTTATATATACTGTTAAAAAGTTTCCTCTTGAACATTATACGTGTGTATGGCAGGGTGCCTCTGATTATCAGTACATATATTCCTCTTCCCCTCTTGGTTCTAAACTGAGAGCTAAAAATCACCTTTCTTACAAATAAAAGTTTGTTCTAAGGGAATGCAGCTTTTCTTTTTGTTTTTGTTGTATACCGGCGATTCAAATTAGATTTGATTGGCACAGGAGGAGACTGCCCCTCTTTCTTTTTTTTTTCCTGGTGGAGGTGCCGGGGATTGAACCCGAGGCCTCATACAGGCAAAGCATTGCCCCTCTTTCACAATCTGGTGGATGAGAACTGTGCACCTTCAGGATAGCAGTGCAGCTTGTTGCCCCTAGGTCATCAGAGCTCCTGAGAAAGCAGCTTTTGTATGTGGACAGACTAGCTCTGCAGAACCAAACCTCAGAGTAAATCACACTTAACCACCCAATGGCAGGAACACGATGTCTCAGAAGAAAACAGTGAGAGTAAGTTCACCTCCAAGGGCAGTAGAGTAGGTACTGGACATTGAAGGAGAAAGAACATTCCCCTTCCAAATTCAGCAAGCATACTGATGAGAGAAGTGTAGAGGCAGGCAGAGACCATGGCTAGTGGGATAGTTCTCCTTGACTAGGAAGAACAGAAATAGGGATTAAGCTTACCTACTCAGATTTAACCAGTGGAACCTAAAATACCTAATAGTAAATATAGCAGTAGAAAATTAATTTAATGGTCACTGAAAAATAGGCATTGACTTTGACTAGAATGATAGTATTTCTAAGAGGTGTTTCCAGAGAATAAAAATATGTTGTTGTTAGGTGCCATCAAATTACAGATGACTCACAGTGACCCTGTGAACAACAGATCTGAAGCCTGTCCTATCCTGTGCCATCTTCATCATCTGTGACACCTTTGAGTCCACTGCTGTTGTGACTGTCAATCCATCTTCCTTTCTTTCACTGACCATATATATACACTTACACATATAATACATAAATATCTATGTTTATAAAATATTTTAAAAATTAAGACATTAGAAATATATATGAAGTATACACACAAATACATATTGTGTATATATACTGGAGATATATACACACACATATATATGAAATATATACACATATCTCTATGTATGAATGTATTTATATATTTGTGATGTTCTTGGAAAAAGAACATCTAAAAAATCAGTCAAAACTTTAAATATGCATTATTTGGAAAGCCAGAATCATCGCGTTAATACCGTATGTCCTTGAAGTGTATATATGAGTCTTCCTTCTAAGAGATCCAGAATCTTAAGTGTGCCGTCTGATGAAGCAGTGATGAGATAGTTACCAGAAGGATGGTATGATAAGCAATTCACTCCGCCGCTGTGAACTGATTTATAGAAAACAGAAGCAAATATCAAAGGACTGGATTTTTTTAAAATTAGTATTTTGTTGTATTCTCAGTGAAAATTTGCATAGCAAACAGCTGCTTAGCTTCCCTTTGACAACTCTGAACTGGAAGCAGCTAACGTTTCCTCCCCCCAGGCTCCTTATATCCCTTATTTTTTCATGTTTACTTTACCCCTACCCCATTGCCTAGTAATTACTTAAGGGTAATATCAATATCATTTCCTTTGAGTGCTAATCTGTTCTTTTTTGCTAAAAGGTGATCTCAGGGGACAGTTTTGATTGAAGGCTTAAAAAATATCTCAAGATAACAGCATCAGGGGATCCTTTAGTCGTACCTGGGCTTTTTAAGACTCTGAGTTCTCTGCCAAATTTCTCCCTGGTCTTTAGGGGCCATCTATTGTGGCCTTCTCTGAACAGTCAGCAGTGGTAACAGGCACCGCCTGGTTTCACCACTCCCAAGGTAGATAAGGTCATGGTTTATGTGAGCTCTTAGCTCTGCAGACTAGTTTCATCTCGAAGAGTCTGGTTTCCTTCTTTCTCTTTTATTTCAGATGAGTTGTTGTTGTGTGCTGTCAAGCCACAACTGACCCTCTAGTGGGTTTTCAGAGGCAGTGAATGTTACAGGAGATTGTCCATCCTTTTCCTAAGGAGCAACTGGTGGATTTAAACTATGAACCTTTGGGATTACAGTATAGGTTCCTACCAGTAAACCACGAGAGCACCCTGATAAGCTCACATCCAGATGAGTAACATCATAATTGATGGCTGCTTATAAGGTAGGGTTGTATTCTAGTAATATTTTTGTTGGTTTGCATATAGTCATTCACATACATTGTGTTTCTAGCATGCACATCGTGTTTTATTCAATCCTTCATTTACAGTGTTTCATTCCTGTACATTGTGTTCTATGCACTTGTGCACATACACTGTATTTTATATAATATTTTGATCTATGGATATTATGACTCTGTTTTTTTAAGTCTCCATTGGCTCTTTCCTAGTCCTTCACCTGTCCCATCCTACCATTCACATAAGGTTTAAGATCTCAGACATTACCTATCTCACCAATATGCAGGGCATGAACTTTGCGGTGTTCACACTCTGAGATGTCCTTTAAGACTAAGCCTTCATTCATGTTGTTTTGGAGAGAGAGAAAGAAAGGGAGGAAAGGAGAGAGGGAAAGAGGGAGAGAGGGAGGGAGGGAAGGAGGGAGATAGAGTGTGTGTGTGTGTGTGTGTGTGTGTGTGTGTGTGTGATAGTCGATATTTGATATTTTATTCAGAGAAGTGTTTTTAATTATAAAGGTGCTCCTTTGTCCAATTAGTAATACAAGGTTGAAAACAAGAATAATTTAAAGGCAAAGTCTGTATAACACCAATATACTATGTATATAATATATTCTGGCATCACACATATTAAATTTACAACCAATGAGAAAGAATAACTTAAAAAATAAGACAGTGTCATGGAAAAAATAATATTATTGGCCACATAATTATGAAGTGTTTTAATATATTAGCAGTATAAACAACAGTTGATCATTTATAGTTTACATAAAATACATATTTTAATCTCAAATTATATGTAATAACGACTTAGTGTCTTGAGACTAAGGTGTGAAGAGTGCAGAGATATATTTGGGGAAAGGTATACTACTGAAAAAAAGTGTGATGATTCATTTCCAGTTACTGAGCTCTGGTGGCCCATACAATAAAGAGTTAGGCTGCCAATTCAAAGGTGGGAAGTTTGAGTCCACCAGCTGGTCTGCAGGGAAAAGATGGCAATGTCCTCTTGTGCGATTTATAGTCTCTGAAAACCCATTAGAGGGTCAGCTATGAAGTGGTTCTGACTACACAGTGATGAGTTAAATTTCCAATTACTATTGCAATGGGAAAGTCTGCTGTTAGGGACTTTTCCAGAGTTCTGAAGAGCAATGGTGTCTCTCTGGAGACTAAGGTTTGCCTGATACAGGCCATGGTCTTTGCAATCACTTGTTATGCATCAGAGAGTTGGACAATGACTAGGAAGGGTAGAAGGAGAATTGATGCCTTTGAGCTGTGGTGCTGGAGAAGAGTATTGAGTGTACCATGCACTGCTAGGAAAACAAACAGATTCATCCTGGAAAGGGTTAAACCGGGTGGCTCCTTGGAGGCAAGGATTCTGAGGCTTCGTTTGACATACTTTGGACATGTAAGGAGGGACCAGTCCTTCATCATGCTTGGGAGATGGAGGGACAGCACAGGAGGGAAGGCCCTCTATGAGGTGGATTGATTCAGCGACTGGGGTAATCAGGATGGGTGTATCGGAGACAGTGTGACTGGCACTAGACAGAGCAGAGTTTAGGGCTGTTGTACTTAGGGTCAGTATGATTCACAAGCGACTAGACGGCCCATAACAACAACAACAACATCCTTCCAGTAGGAGGCAATATAACACAGTGATCAAAAGTGTGCTCTGCCAGTATTTGAAGAGACCACTTTACTCACTGCCTTCCAGTTGGAACCAACTCACAGCTGATCCTTCACTGGGTTTCTGAGGGTGTTCTTCCCACAGGAGGAGACTGTATATCTTTCTCCTATAAAGTTGCTGGTAAATTCAAATCACCAGAAGGGAGAGGCCACAGAGTGAGCTGTACAACTCCCTATGGATTATGCCATAATTACTTGAGCAAGTTTATTAACCTAATTGAAGTTTCAGTTTCTCTATATTTAAAATGGTAGTAATACTACTACTACTTCTCAGGAAACCTGGTGGCACAATAGTTAAGTGATCAGCTGCTAATTTAAAGGTCTGAGGTTTGAGTCTACCAGCTGCTCTCTGGGAGAAAGACCTGGGCATTACAGCATAAGAAACCCATGGAGAGTAGTTTGGCCCTGTCCTGTAGGGTCACTCTGAGCAGAACTGACTTGAAGATACACAACAACACTCCTCAGGGTTCTTGTTAGGATTTAACAGCGTGTGCTACGTTGTACAAGTGGAATAAGTGACATCAGGAAACTGTTTTCTTCTGCCAGATACTCTATTTTTTGCTCACATATAATTTTCCGATTTGAAATTTGGAGTCAATTTCTACTCTTGACTTCTTACAGGATGTAAGTAACCAGAGTTTAAAAATCTCACAGAGATTTCTTTTTTATATCTGCTGGCATCTTATGGTTCTTCCTCTTTCCTCCCTCTACTCTGACATCTGCCTCAGGTTCTCAGGTCCTGCTGTTGTTGGGTGCTAAGCATTCTCTAGTCAGTTCAAAGGCAGCCTATGACCCCCATTAAAAAGATAAAAACCACACACCAAAGGTATAATCAGTTCAAAAGCTTCCCAGAGGAGCCCATTCAACTGAGCTGTTTTGATACAGAAACTGTTACCTTGATAATGCTGGAGTAATTTGTTCACTCTTATATCCCAGATTTTCACGGTATGATCAGAGCCTGCAGAAGCGATGCATGTACCACTAGGGTTAAAAGCTACAAAATTTGCAAACCTAGGAGGAAATAAAAATTCAATTTCCTTAATCTCAAATTATTTCAATTACAGCTACAAGTTTCCTTACCAATCCAACCCCTACAAATTAAAAAAAAAAAAAGTTAACTTACCCTACAGAATCGGAGAAGTTATTAACACACTGCTTATTTGTGGTATCCCAAATTTTGATAGTTTTATCTTCACCGCATGATACAATTAGTCTTCCATCAGGTGAGAATCTGGAAAGCACAAGTAAGAAGATTCTATTGTGAAAGGCTGCCAGCGACCAACCCTACAATATGTGAGTCAGTTTTATTTATATGGCATTTAAAAATATGTTACCCAGACAAAGCAGGAAGCAATCCCCTAACTAAAAACAAAAAAAACACCTAAAAAAAATTCACAGCAATCATTACCGAAATAACCATTAACAATCAGAAAAGACCATGTTGCTTTTTTTTCCTTTTAATGCTCTCACTGAACTAATTTTACTTTGTGGCATTTATCTCTAAGTCCTTGACTCTCTGATTCTTTCAAGCCAGCTACCCTGCTTATTTTTGCTTGTTTTAATACTCTCTAGTTCTCTCTCCTATTTTGTCATTGCTCCATGTTATCACATGACCTAAGAGAGTCTTTTATTATCATCCTTTGCCAGCCATGTGGTAAAGTGAGTTTTTGTTTTTTATTTTTCTTTTCAGGGGGCAAGAAAAGGACTTTTGTGTTGAGATTAAAAATTTAGTAGTATTACAAATGGAAGAACCTAATTTCCCAAGATTGAAAGTATTCCCAGACAAGGAGGTCAGAGAGCTCGAAAAGACTAAAAAATAGGACAGCTCATTTACATAGGCCAGAATCTCCTTCGTAGGCAAACCTACACAGCCCATTAAGAAACAGATGAAAAGACTCTCAGACATCTTGGCTACTGCTTTTATGCTCTTTCTTAAATTCCTTTCCAAGATTTTTTTTTTAGTAACTATTTTTAAAACAGATGGAAGAATGAACACCTCCTCTTGCACCCCCAACCTCTCAAAAGAGGAAAATACATTTTAGATTGTTAGGAAATCCATGAACAATGTTTTTATTATTAATATTTTAACAATAACAGAAACCTACAGAGACAGATTTAAGCCCTAAGTAGTTAGGAGTCAGTTTTATTTGTAGTTTCCCTCTACGCCCAAATTACTATGAAAGTCATCAATTAAGGGTGTGGATTATAATGGAATGCTTCTCTTTTTTTTGTGCTCTAACCTTTCCCTTTTTAAGTTTACCTAAAAATAATTCTTCTTGACAAAAACTTTCAACCTGGCATTTACGGATTTACCAAGTGAAAAATGACATACAGAAGAGCATGATTAAGTTCTGTATGCAATAAGAAATTTTTAAAAATACAAAAATAGTAACTTTGCAAGGAGAAAAATTTCATACTGGATAATTCACCAGTATTATAACACATAATATTTTTAATTTTATTCTCTTCCAGAAAATACATGAGAAAGATTAAAATATTAAGAACCATATTATCAAATACTCCAAATAGATGAGACTTTCTTTTAATAGACTGAGATAGAAGCTTGGGTGGTAAAAAAAGCTGTCTGTGGTCAATTGTTGACCAGAAGGTCATTGGTTCAAGCCCACCTGTAGTGTAAAGGATCACTTTGGTTTCCTTTAAATAAAACTAGCGACTACTGTGTATTGTGCATTACTCCCCCTTTAAATGTGAACTAGCCTTTTAAAAATATAGAGTTAATTAGGAATTACAATGGACCACTTTTGTAAGTTCTTTCTAGTCATGGGTGTGTTTTTTTTTTAAATTTTATTATTTTTCTGTGAGTGTACCATCAAATCAGATCTGACTGGTCTGGTACAGGAGGAGATTGTCCCTCCTTCCCTGGCAGAGCATCTGGTGGATTCGATCCTTGCACCTCTGGGGTTGTAGTTGCAGCTGCTTGCCACTAGGCCACCAGAACTCCCCTCTAGTCATGTTTTTGCCATTTCACTAGGCTTAAAATGACCATCCCATAGGCATAAAGAGGACTTCAATACTATTAGAAAGAGCCAGGAACAGAAAATGCCTTTTGGACTGGAGTGGCTGCACAGAGAACTTCTGAGAGAGCTTTAATACGAATGATGCTATAAGACAGTGAAAACAGAATCAGCGGACTGGCACAAGACAGCTGTCAGAGTGAAGCAGCTGCTGTGAACGAGCTAGCTTATAGAGTGAGGGCACAGACCATCTTCAGGCTTGCTGATGGAATGGATTTCCCCAGGGACTCACTGGCAGAGCTAAACAGCTTTGCAACACATCCTATGCTGCGCAGAGACCAAGGGGCAGAAGAAGCATGTTTAATAAGAAGCTATTCTGATCCAAGAACTATATCCCGAGTTGTTCCTGATCCTGAATTGTAACTGTTGGCTCCAAATAAACCTCATAATGATGAATATGGTCTGTGAGTTGTCTGAGGTCATTGCAATAAATTCGTGAACCAAACAGAGAAGCAGAAAGTGCTTTGAGAGTGTTGGCCTATATAGAAATCAGTAACACAGTAGGAGCTAGAACATATGTTTGATTTTCAAATAGGAATTATCCTTCAGCTGTTAAATCTTGATTCTCCTAATCCTTTGCAAAGTTACAGGTCAGATGGCCTCACCATATTCTGGTGGCATAGTGCCTTATGAGTTGTGGGTCTAACTGAAAGATTGGCAGTTCTAATACGAGGATCAATCCACAAGAGAAAAAAATAAGCTGTCTCTTCCTGTAAAGATGTGTCACCTTGGAAAATCAATGGAGGGGCACAGTGAAATGTAACTGATCGAGTGGGAGATGGGGGACGGAGGAAAAGGCCTGGCAATCTGCTTCTATTACAGCATAGAGGGATCTATATGGTAGTCTAATTTGTAACACATGGGGTATCATGAGCCAGGTGCTGACTTGATGGTTAACAACCACCATTGAGGAAAATGTCTACTCAGTATCCCCATGGAACCCGATTCTCATGTAAACCTTTACTTATTAATGAAAATAAAGTATTATTCTTTCCAATCAAATTCCATGAGAAGGAATTTTGCATAATAATTATAAACAACTAATAAAAGGATCATAATTGTTATTCTTAATAGGCTATTTTGCCTAATTACAAAATAAGCAGAGAACATGCAAAGACATTTCACTAAAGACATTCAGATGGCAATAAAAACACTTGAAGAAATGCTTAAGATCATAAATATAAGGGAGATCCCAAACAAAACAATAATGAGATAACATTTCACCCCAGGAACAATAGCAAAGTGCAATAAGACAACAAACAGCAAATGCTGGCAAGGCTGTGGAGAGACCGGGGACTCTCACACACTGCTGGTAGGAATGTCAAATGGTGCAACAACCATGGAAACAGCCTGTGGCTGCCTTAGGAACTTGGGAATTGAAACATCACTGATCCAGCAACTCCACTATTAGGTTTATAAAAAAAACCCCAAAACAAACCCCAACACAAACTATGATACAAACAAGAATATGCACTCCCATGTCCAATAACAATATTTATAATAACAAAGAGAACAAGTATTTATCAATATGTAGCATAGTCACACAATGGAGGACTGTTGTTATGTGCCATCAGTTGCTTGGCACTCAAAGATATCCTATGTACAACAGCTCTGAATACTGCTCTATTCCATGCCAACCTTATTGTCGCTGACACATCTACACCCATTAGCCCAGTCATTGAGTCAATCCATCACATTGAGGGTCTTCCTCTCTTGTGCTGTCCCTCCACCCTTCCAAGCATGATACCCTTCTCCAAGGACTGGTCACTCTTTGCAACATGTCCAAAGTAGGTCAGATGGAGTTTCAGAATTCTTGCCTCCAAGGAGAAGCCTGGTCTCACCCTCTCCAGGACAAACTTGTTTGTTCTCCTAGCAGTCCACAGTATATTCAATACTGTTCTCCAGTACCACAGCTCAAATGCATCAGTTCTCCTTCTATCATCCCTAGACATTGTCCAGCTTTCTAATGCATAGTAAGTACTTGAAAAGACTATGGCCTGGATCAGGCTCACCTTAGTCTGACATCATTGCTCTTCGGTACTCTGGAGAGGTCCCTGACAACAGACTTTTCCAATGCAACTCTCTTTTTTGATTTCGTGGCTGCTGGTACTAAGAGTGTTGATTGTGGAGCCAAGCAAACTAAAGCTGTTAACAATCTCCATCTCTTCACCATATACCATGATGCTGCCAATCAACCCAGTGGTGAGAATCTTTGTTTTCTTGATATTGAGCTTCAATCCATATTGAGGTCTGCAGTCCTTGACCTTTTGCAGCAAGTGCTTCAGGTCCTACAAGTTTCAGCAAGCAGGGTTGTGTCACATCTACATAACGCAGGTTGTTGATGAGTCTTCCTCCAATCCTGATGCCACACTTCTCCTGATGGAGCCCAGCCTCTGGATGATCTGTTCTACATATAGATTGAAGGTATGGAGATAGAACACATCTCTGGCATATATCCTTCCCAATTTTGAATCATTCAGTGTCTCCTTGCTCTGTTCTGATGATTGCCTCCTGGTCTAAGTATAGGTTTTGCATAAGCACAATCAGTGTTCTGGGATTCCCATTCTTCTCAGAGTCAGTCACAGTTTGTTATGATCCACACAGTCAAATGCCTTTGCATTGTCAATGAAACACAGATAGACATTCCTCTGGTACTCTCTGCCTTCAACCAAGATTCATCTAACATTAGCTATAATATCCCTAGAGCCACAGCCTCTTCTCAACCCAACCTGCACTTCTGGCAGTTCTGTGTTGATGTGCTCCAGTCATTTCTGGATCATTTTCAGCAGAATCTTGCTTGCATGTGATATCTATGATACTGTTCAATAATTTCCTCACTCTGTCAGGTCACCTTTCTTTGGAATGAGAACAAATAGAGATCTCTTCCAGCCAGTTGTCCAGGTGGCTGTCCTCCAGATTTCTTGGCACAACTTGGTAAGCGCATGTAGGGTAGTATCTGTTTGTTGAAATATATCAATCTGTAGGCCATCAATTCCTGGGGCCTTGTTTTTGCCAGTTCTTTGAGAGCAGCTTGAACTTCTTCATCACCACAGGCTCTTGTTCATATGCTGTTTCATGAAATTCTCTGTCAGCCAATTCCTTTTGGTACAGTGACTCTGTAAACACTCCCTTCTATCTTCTTTTAATGCTTTCTGGATCATTTAATATTCTACCCAAAGCATCCTTAAGTATTTTG